ACACACACACACACACACACACACACACACACACACACACACACACACAATTTCTCAGAATAACAAAGGGGAAGGGGGTTCCAGTGGAATACAGTCAGGAAAACCTGGTTATCATTGCAAACATCTGAAAAGTATACAAAAAGCAACTTGTTTTCTGTAGCCCACAACCCGTTGCCTTTGGTGGAGCCCAGCAGGAACTCACTGAAGTTCTGAAGAATTAGGCCTGGAATGAGAACTACATCAGTACATGGCTCCAGACACTCTTCCCTTGCACACTGGCACAGGTTGGCAATTAGCTCCCAGATAATCTGGTCTGCATACATACCTCCCATGTGTGATGAAGACCATGACCCTTTATTTGAAGGAAAACTCCACTGACTTGGTAACATTTGCCTGTGTGAAATAAGTAGGTCAAACTCCAATATGGTACTATTAAAATGCAATACCAGAGAGAAAAGTGCCAGTCTCTACTGCTGTGAAATCCAGGTTTTCTATCTCTTGGCAGAAGACACTACTGCACAACCGGAAAAAGGGAGAAACTAAACACTAGCCTGGAAAGAATATGTAACAAGGGAACTGGCCTAAATAAAAAGATAGTTAAAACGCTGAAGTTAAATTATTTGTCCAAGATCTGAATAAAACCAGTCAGATTAGGATCTTTGCTCAAATTCTTGTTTATGTGTAAGGGTGTCTGAAACTTTCCCTTGACAGCAAGTAAGACTGTCTTACTGTATCGGAATTTCCAAATAGCCTATTCCTCCCCCGATATGGTTGTCATTTACTATGAGACTAGAGAGTATTCCAGGCTCACTTGGGTCTCAATCTTTACACACAGCAGGATGCAAGAAAGGTTTACTGTCTAACAACAAAGTTGAAGAATTATACTACGAAAAATAAACAATATCAAAACATTCACATAATTAATTTGAAGTGCAACTGATGTGCAAATATGGAAAAAAACATGTGGCTCTCTCTAGCTTTTAAGACTAGTAAGACAAAGTAGCTAATTCCAAGAAGAACACAAAGGGAAAAAACTGTAATAACAATAGAGAACTACTAAAGTAAAAATATGGAATCTTCTATTTTTAAGTAAATTGTGAATCCATGTTTAGAAGCAAAAACCTTTATTTAAATATTTAGATTTCACAAAATATAAAACATAATAAAATTTTATTTACATGGCATGCAGTTATGAATTACACATGTTCCTAAGTGTTTTTCCTAACTATAGCAGCGTTCAGGCATCAGAGTCAAGGCATGAGTAATAAATAAAATGTTTTCTTCCTCCAAAAAAAATGGTGCAAAAATATTAGAGAGATAGAAGAGACGAGGTCGAATGTTCTTCCTTTTATATTGATCAAAATGCAAAATGCGAAGTTCAAGAAAAACACCAATAACAGAGCCAAAAAAGTGCCAAGAACTGCAGGTACAGAAGGCTGACTTCTGACGGTGGAAAGACAAGTACTGTGGAAGCTGGGATGGGGAGGAAAGGAAGTAACATATTAGTAACACTGGACACACAGGGGAGCCACACAGGAAGTCAGCTCAGTAAATGGTATGTGCTGTAGGGAGTAAGTGAGCTTGTTTTTGACCAGACCAGGCATTCAGGAATGTGTTGACGGCAAAGAAGCAAGGTGGAAAAGAAGCCCATTCAAGGAGGAAAATATATCCTGAAGCTCAGACTACAAGTCTGTTTTAGAGTCAAGTGTGTCAGGATGTTCCAAGAACATCCCTTGGTGGTGACTCTATGACAATCAAGGTGTACTCAGGAGTGGCCCAGAATGATGTTTGTACAAATCACACTGTCTGCTTCCTGCCCTGTTAACCATACTATTAGCTTTTGAAGGTTTGTGGCCAGGTCTTGCTTGTTCACCTTCAGTTCTCTCTCTGCTGAGAACTCAGGAGCTCAGGTTTACTTTTTTCTTAGAATTAAAAAAAAAAAAAATGTTTTTCTGATGATAAAATATATACTCAACACAGAAAAATTCTGAAGATACAAAAAAGTATACAGAAAAAAACAAAAGTCATATGTAATCCCATCTCCGAGACATGAGCTAAGTTTCTTAAAATTTTAGAGTTCATCCTTTCAGGCTTAGAAATACATACATGCACGCAGGAGCACACAAACACACTAAACAAAATGGTATCATATTATTCTGTTTTGTAAACGTCTATTATAGACACTTGCTAGCTTTATTGAAAGCTCTACAACATGTATAATAGCTGCAATATAATTTAGTAAAACAGTTCCTCCACTGATGAGCACCGAAGTGGTTTCCAGCTTTCTGCTTTTATAAACACTACTGCAATGAGCATCTTTGTACATAATCCGTGCACATGTTCAATCACTATTTCCTTAGGCTAAATTCCAGAAGCAGATTTTAAGTGTTACAGCCTTTTTAAAAGCTTTTGATACACAGGTTGCTAAACTGTCATCCAAAATATTTATAAAATATTTATAAAATCAATATATCCACTAGCAGGGTATGAGTGCTTTGCTCCACCCTCGTTAGACTTCAGTGTTTTCCACTTCTCCCAATATGACAGTCAAAAATACGTATTTTGTTTTTTTCATGTACACCTTTTAAGTAGAGAGTTCTAACTCTGTTATGGGTACTGCCCAAATAAAATACTGGGTTTTTTTGTTTTTTGTTTTGTAGAGTGCTTATTACTATCTTTCACTTATTTGAACAGTCTTATTAAACACTTTTCAGTAGATTGTCTTGGGTCTTCTTCCTTTTGAAATTCTAAAAACTACACAGGTAACTGAGCAAGTAGGTAAAGGGCAATACAAACTAGGCCTATATGATTCTACGTGGTTCAGTCTGGGACACCTGTCTGCTAACAGACTGCTAAGTGGGGGAGGGCACCAAATACCTCTTCAAAGGTAAGCACTCAACATGAGTTATGGAGAGACTGGTTATGAGAAATTCCTATGCATCCCTGGATGGTGCTTGAACCAGGTAATCCAAACACAGAAATGGTGTGATTTATAGCCACTGTGAACCCTGGTATCCATTTGAACAGGCAGCTGGATAAGACAACATCAGAAGGAGTAGCAGCTCTTGGGAGTAGATGGTGTCCCAGCACAATCTACTGGGGTTGTGGTCATGAAAAAGAAGATGGGAAATGATGTGTATAGTGACCTTAAAAGAGTTCATTTTTTACTAAATCAGTCCCAAAAGGAAAAGGGAGAAATGTTCCAGTGAATCGTGAGGCAGCCCTGGGTTTAGCAAGGTGAACATGTTTTCTGTAATGTGGACACTCAACTGGAATGCGGCATGCTAACTTTAGAAGGGCACCAACCTGTTGACCGACTATTATAATTTACATGCCACCTGCATAACTACTAAGTTATCAATTGTGTATTTTGACTCCGACATTCCTTTAGATTCAGAACATACTACTTATTTGGTATACAAATAATTTCTGTTGCAAATTAAAACTGATATACAAATTCTTTAAAAATAGTCTTGTGTTTTATAAACTAAATGGCTGTAACCAGTTCTCAAACAGCTGAACTTGTTATTTTCAGTCACTTCTCAAGGATAGATGTAGTTCACTTATAAATAATATCATTAGATTGTGCCATGAAATGCCTTGTTGTTGTATACAAGGAAATGTTCACGTATTAATGGCTTCCTGATTTCACCTTTGTTTCCCTTTGCCTATGTTAAACTCTAGAGTTCTATCATTAGAATACCACATTTTAGACCCTGGTGAGGATGAAGGTGCAATGCTTTGAGCTCAAATATTTCCCTCTAGTTCATGCCAAGGAAGCAGTACTTTTATCAAATAGAGTTCTCATAGGACTTTAAGTATTCTTAAAATTTCTGAAAAGGGGGAGACGAAATATGAAAATAGGCCTTTGAAATGACATTTAAAATAAAACTTCCTTAAATGGCATTAATTAACAAGGGTGGAAGATGCTGAGTTAGGAGCCTTCTTATGGGATAGGGGACTCTTACTGAATCTTTTTCTTAAACCCACAGTTATAACTGTAATTTTCATTAGCCTGACTAAATATATGTATTTTTGGCTTTCCTGTTTTCCCACAGACTTTTGACCATTTTAATATCTCAGTTTAGCCTTCTTTAAAGGTGATCTGCAGAAAAGGGGAACAACAGTCAATAAATGAAAAGAAAAAAATGTGAAAATGCCTATAGTTTTGTTTTTATACTCTCCCTTTCTAGAGGAAATCATCATCTACTTGGACTGTTCTCATCTGGAGGGAGTAATGTTGGTAAAAGAAATGTAGGAGAGATCAAACTGCAAGATATCCCAATAAAGCATTACAAAAGATAGATATAATAAAGCAAGACAAGTGGTAAAAGAGGACATTTGTGAGAGTGAATGATTATCCTCCTAGAGGCTAACCTCTTAAGGTTCCAATAACCTCAAGGCATCTTGCTTTAATATCCATCGTGGATTTAATATCCAGCCATGCTTACTTCAAGCTTTTCTGACCCTATAAGCATTTTCAGTTTGTACCATCTCCTGAGGAAGAATGATCTGTAGTTTTTCCACTTAGACAAAACAGTTGTCCTAGATTACATTTCTAAACTTTTAAAGAAATAGCTCCAATGTTATATTCTGGAATCAGTTAGAACCAAAATAATATTGCCACAACCAGATTCTTAATAATTTAGTGAACTTTCACAATATTCTATCCACAAACTTTAAGATCCTTAGTTTTATGGAACAACAAATGCAGTTTGACATTGCACCTGCACGTTCCCCTCCACCCCTCCTCTGATTCTTCTTAATTAACTATACTTCAACTGTCTTTAGCTTATCTATGTTTGGTCCTCATAAATACCAGTGGTTCCCAGTTACCAAATCAATAGCTGTGAATTGCCCCCTTTCCTAAGTCACCTGTGTTACATGTGACTGTGTTATGTTAGTAGACACCTGTGTCAGGTTAGGAGTCCTCAAATTTTAAGCTATAGCTATTCATACTTAGTTTGAGCTGAAGATGATAAATAAGGTGTAACTGGGGCGTAACCAAGTAGGAAGTCTTGGGCTCTTAACTAGGTTCTCAGATAGTTTTTCTGCAGCTTCCCTTAATGTTACAATCCATCACCCCCACAGTGACATGTGTTTGAAAGTCATCTAAGGGTTTTTCCTGGTACAATTTCTTTGGTGAACTCATCTTTTACAGGTTTCCATTTTCAGTCTTAGTACTGCCCTGGGCTATTTTTAGCTTTTCAGCTGCACAAGAGTGCTGTCATCATCTGTAACTCCCTAGTCAAACGGTTATGTCACGTGTACCCCTGGGCTGTGATCTCAGACAGCTGCTCTGGGGGTCAATGTTTCAACTTCATTCAAAGCTAAAGGAAGAAAAACAAATTAGAGTACCTAGTGCCCAGGAAAACAAAGGATTGTGACAAATCTACCAGTTGGTTCATGTTTTATGTAGATACTACTTTTCTTACTTTAACTCAAAAAGCAGTTTACAAGAATGGCTGTTATTCGTGGTGTGGAAATGGGGATGCACAGATGTTTCCAAAACACAATTTTTAAAAAATGAATGACTCATTTAAAACAGCGGTACAAAAACATTTTAAGCTGACTATAGATAGTAAATAAATAAAACCTTAAAAAACTCAATGATTGAGAATTTAAGAAATAAATTGCTCTGAGGAAATGAGGTTTTAGATAATTAAACTTTATACCAATAAAATAATTTTTAACTCTTAAAAGAGGATATTGAATGTAACTCAAGTTACTATTATTTCAGAGGTAAAAAATGAAGAGTCTAAAATGAGAATAAAGGACACAGACTTCGGTATCTGGCAGAACTACTAAGTTCAACTCTTAACTGTGCCACACACAACTAGCCACGTGCCTCTGTGTTTATACTGTGTCTCTTTTAAGCTAAATTTACTCATTTGTAAAAAGGGAAAATCATAGAAAGGCAGGGTTATTGTGAAGATTAAGTGAGATGATGTATGCAAGGCAATGGCACAAAACCTGGAACTCAGTAAAAGCTCCATAAATGTGAGCTTTCAAAATGGTGTTCTCTACCTTAATGGGTAACAGTTCTTTATTGATTACTAGCTGTGTTGGATGCATTCACATTCCTTATAATCATCAGCAACTTCCACCGCAGCTTGTTTCTTCTCTCTATTGTTACTCAGATTATCAGGGATTACTTCTTTAAGCTATCAATTTACCTCTCTTTAATAGGTGTTGTGTTACCCTATTACTTGCTGCTTCCAACGTGCTTTGACTTGGGTAACCAGATTAACTGAATTTGTTGACATTCTCTCAAATAAAGGAGTAGTGCTTTGGTTTTGGACATCAGAGGCTTTCAATCTTTCTTCAGGTTCTGAGTAAAGTGTGATAAACACGAGGGCCTTATTCCACAAAAGAATAAAACATGGTAAGGGCCATTAATACTATCATTAAATTGTATCCTACACCTTCTCCTAGCCTGTTTCAAAAGGAGGTTTAAGACATTTCACGTCAAGAAGAATGAATACAATACCATTAAAGAATTATAAACAGCATCGGAGCCAGAGAAGGTAGGAGGAAGAAAATGTACTAACCATTGGGACAATTGTAGTTGTTGTGATCTTAACATGAAAACTGGCACAAAGCCTCCTGGCAAGAGGGCAAAAGGAAAATATGTTCAATGATACAGTCCTGCTGTCAGAAAAAAAGGAAACATTCTGATTTTTGGGGGGAGGATAAAGTCTTATGTGGGACTGTATAAAAAAGCACTCCCTTTTTTTTTTTTTGCATTACCCCAATAGACAATGTCCTTGGCAAGCAATTGGGGTTATGCAATATCAAGTATAGGTGACCCTTGACTTTTTCATTTTTAATTCTCATATTGCCTCCACCTCTGAGGCAGTTAGTCTAACTTTCAATCTGTTCCACCTATTGACATCATTCTAGTCTGTGCTCTTGGCCCTTACTAATGAGATTGCAACTAACACCCCATTGGTCTCCTTGCATCTGGTTCTCCTGTTCGCCAATTTACCTTTTACATTGCCACCAAAAGGACATTCCTAAACCAATACGCTCAGCAAGTCACAGAAGGGTTCAAAAACCGTTAGTTACTCCCAGTAACCTCTAGAGGAAGTCTAAACTTTTCAGATGACTATTTCAGATGCCTTATAATGTGATTCTATGCCACATTTTATAAACTATTACTCCCCATTCCTAACCTTCCAATCCAACCACCGTTCTCATCAGTCTTTTGACTGTGTCATGGTCCCTCCTCTCTCTACTCCTTTGCTCACATGGTTTCTGGAATCCCCTACCCCTCTCCTAATAACCTACTCCTTACCACCTATCCAAATCTTAACTCTTCTTTAAGGTCCAGCTCAGTTCCTCCTTGGAAGCCTTCCTACCAACTTGGGTTCATGTTTCTCTCTTGCCGTACCACCATCTGTGCCAATCGATGTGGGCTCCATAGACCTCTGGGGGTTCATGACCCTTTTGGGGGAACTGCAAGGTCAAAACCATTTTTATAATAATACTAAGGTGGTATTTGCTTTTCTAACTGCATTACCATCTTCAGTGATGGTGCAAAAGTCATGGTGTGTAAAACGGCCAGCACCTTAGCACAATTCCTCATTGGCAGCAGACTGAACTAGTGGAGGCATTCTTTACCACAACATGATCACAATGAAAAAAACAGTCACTTCCCTTAAGAATGTTCTTGACAGAGCAGTAAAGTACCAACTTTACTAAATCTTAAATGTTGAGTACACATCTTCTTAATATTCTGTGGGAAGAAATGGAAGTACCCATTAAACACTTCTGCTGCACACAGAAGTATGAGGACTGTCTCAAGGGAAAGGGATTGCAGGATTTTTGAGTTGTGTGTTAAAACTGCTTTTTTTTTCCCACAGAATACCATTTTTACTTGACAGATGATGGACACAAAATTTGGTTACACAGATGAGTATTTAGCAGATACTTTCTCAAAAATGAACAACATGCAACTGTCATTTCAAGGAAAACAACTGACAACATTTACTGTTAGTGACAAAATAGAAGCTTTCAACCAAATATCAGAATTTAGGACAATTGAATTAACCACTGTGAATCTGACAGCTTCCTAATAGTCAATGACTTTTCTGTTGAGACTGAAGGTAATGTTAACAAATGTGATTTTTTTTTCATGTAATGAAACAAGTAAACATTTGTAAAATCTACTTAACTTAGTGAATTGATACTTTCCAACTGACCTAAGCATGGTGGTAAAAATCATGCTTGGGTAAAGATCCTTTCAAAACACAAGGCAAGTTTTTCACGCAGGGAAAATTCATTAATACAGTTTCACATTCCACATTACAACCAATCTTTAAAAACTACCACTTGTTGAGTTTTATTGTGAAATCCAAGAAAAACATCCACAATTATCTGAAAAGGCTTTAAAATATGTCTCCTCTTTCTGACTACCTGTCTATGTAAGACTGAATCATCTTCATGTACTTCAACCAAAACAACATATTGCAACTTTTAGGTGCAGAATCATATATAAGAATCCAGCTGTCTTTTCTTAAAGAGGTTTGCAAAAGTGTATTAAAAATGATACCCTTCCTACTATTTTAGAAGACACTTATTCTACATAAATATTTATATTAATGTGTATTTTTATTATTGGTTATATTTACATGAATTAATACATATTTTTTTAATTTCTCAGTTTTAAGTTCTAATATAGTAGATATCAGTAGGTATATCAATATTTTTAAAAAAAACCTCTTTAAGGTTGATACTTCTCTTTTTAGAGTGTGAAGTGTAAGAATATTAAAAATTTAGAACTGATTTTTATACCATTTATTTTGGCTCTTAATTTTACATCATATAATAGTATAATACATATGTAAGTCATGTATTTGTATGTACATATACCATCACCTTAACTGGAATATAACATTGAAGGAAAAAATATGTTTTTGTTTTTAATCTGTAACAGCTAAGAAAGTGAGCCGACAAATACCTACTGAAGTGACTTGAGGTAACATATCAAAGTATTTAACATAACAATTTTATTTAAGTTTTATAATTAGGTTGCAACAGACTAAGTCCATTCCAGAAAATTCAAGACTCCATTCCATCCAAATGCAGTTGTCAGTTTGTATATTCTATTAACATTTTAAATTGTATTCTATTGAAGAAAAGTATTTCCCTCCTATCTTTGCACATGCAGTTCCCTCTTCCTAGAATCTCCTTTGCCCCCTTTCCTCTTTGTGGAGATTTTCTGTGGTCCCCCAGCTAGCTTAGGTTTACTTCTTGTATGCTCACAGCACACCTTATACTTCTCCTTAAATGTCACTTCTCACAACTTTGTCATTTGTGTAATTATTTCATTAATGTCTGTCTCTCACTGGACTATATGCCTCAAAGGGATACAGACTGTGCCACCTCTTCAGTGATATTTCCCAACAGTACCTGCTCAACAGGGCTACAGAAACATTAAATGGATAAATATTATTAAATAAATTAACCCTTTGTCCTGTGATATTCTATAATATGGCAGATAAATTAACAGGGAAAAATTCCATTACACATCACAGAAGAAATAAAGAAATCTGATTTCTATTTTTAAAGGAATTATTTAGAGAACAGCTCAGTGGGTGGCAAAAGTGGCAATGGGAAAACTGTGAGCACAGGGAAGAAGGATGGAGCCTACCTGAGGGAGTCAGCACTGAAGATGAGAAGAAAGGGACAGACTGAAGCTGTAATTTATACTTAGAATCAGCAGACCCTAGTAACTAACTGGATGGGGGTCAAAGAGCCTTGGGTTTCTGGCTTGAGCAGCTGAGAGGATGATGATTACATTTATCAACATTCAGAGAACCTGAAGAAAAAGAAAATTAGGAGGGAAAGACTAAGTCCCTGAGGTTTCTATGTGGCAGTATCAGCATGTGGGGCTCAGAGGAAAGATTTAAAAAAATAAACCTGGGAGTTGTCAACATAGAGCCAGTCATGGAAGCTGAGGAAGTGAGTGCCAGGAGAGAGAGAGAGACTGAGAAAAGATGAATGGGGCTGGGCTCTGAGGAATCTAACTGATAGGAAGTTCGAAAGTGACAAAGGGTGGGAAGCAAAACAGTAGGGAAGTGGCCGGAGAGATAGAGAAATGGTCAATGTAGGATTATCTTTGATTCATTTCTCCCTCGCCCCCAACTCTCCTTTCCATGTTCCCTGCTTCTACCCAGTCTCCACTGGGAATATTATGGTCATCTCCTAACTGGACTGCCTGCACATTGCTTCTCCTATACTTCATCATGCATCCTCCCACCAGAATACTCCTTCTACAGTGGTGTTTTGCAACACAAGTAGCCATGAGCCACACAAGGCTATTGAAATTACATGAATAAGAATTAGTTAAGAATTCAGTTCTTCGGCCTCAATAGCTGCATCACAAGTTATCTCCATACCCACGTGTGGTCAGTGGCTATCATGTTAGCACAGAGACAGAACATTTCCACCATGACATAAAGTTCTGTGGGACAGTGCTGCTACAGCATTGCTTTCTCTCTTGAAAGGCCCAAACTCTCTAGTCCAACATTTCTGCATTCCACATTATCTTTCCAACATCATCTCCTCTCCCTTCCCAAGATCAACTCTAGGCTCAATGCAAACTGGGCACACTCCACTCATTGCCACCTTCATTGATATCTTCATGTCATGCCATTTGGACCCTCCTGTAATACATCCACTGTGATAGTTATGTATCAGCTTGGCTAGGCCATGGTACCCATTTATTATGCAATCAAACACTAACCGAGGTGTTGCTGTACAGATATTTTGTAGATGTGGTTAACATCCACAATCAGGTGATTTTCAAGTAAAGGAGGTAATTCTCCATTATCTGTGTGGGCATTATTCAGAGGTCAGCCAAAAGACCTGGGAAAATCCTGATTGATATAGATTTTGGCACAGATTTAAGTACCTGCCAAAATGCAGTCCTCAAGGTTGAGCTATATGCCATTTTCTTCAAAAATACAAACATGATTTTTTATACATGAGTATACACGTATATGTATATATATACGTATATATAAGTGTATACGTATATACACATATATATGTATAAAAAATCAGGTTTGTATTTTTGAAGAAAATGGTATATAGCTGTGTATATACATATATATACACACACATATATGTGTATATACATATATATACACACACACACATATATAAAGCAATTTTTTTTAATATATATATTGCTGAGTTCAAGCAGTTCTCTTGTCTTGGCCTCCCAAAATGCTAGGATTATAGGCATGCAGCTCAAACCTGATTTTTCTAATGATTCTTAAACCTGAGTGTACATTACAGTCATCTTTTAAATGTTATATAAACACACTCACGTTCTACTAAGACGATACACACATAGAAGTGGAGCTTGGGCCTTCAAATTTCAAAAGCACACTGCAGGTAATTCTGATGCACAGCCAGAGTTGAGAACTACAACCCTAACTGTGCTCCTCTAGCACTTCCTAAGTGCCTAACAGAACTCATCAAACAGTACACGCTGCCTTATAGAGTCTTTCATTCAATCAACCAGCCAACCAGTGTCAACTGTGCGACTACCATTTGTCAGACCATAAGACAAGGCAGGAGACTGAGGTGAACAGCATGCCCACTCTTGGCCCTTTGGGTAAATGTTAAGATAGACTGCTTTGTATTTCGCTAAGCATATTGATTAATAAATACTGAATGAAAATTTTACTGCAAAATTTAGTGAAGCTAATAGTGGCTTATTCAAAATAGCACATAAATAGCCTATTTCTAGTTCACTGAAAATTATATTAGCAAGTGTTAGTAAGGGCTCAACATATTAATTGATAGGTTATCCTGCTGGTATTTTATAATATTGCTGGGTCTGATTAATTTTCAACCTTTTGATAACGTGGTAGATGCTTAAATGTCTGTAACTGTACTTTCTCAAGGGCACAAATCATCAAGGCTCTTGCCTACTCTTCTAAGAAGAATAGAACAAATTCCTGATACCAACACACTCTGATTTCATTTGAAAGGGAATGTTATGCGGTGTGGCAGGGCTGCACAATGTAGGGATGTGGCCATTTCAATGCTAGCTAGCCCTTTCCTTGTAATGTGCTTAGCCAACTACAACCATCCATAAATGTTAGATAAGACTATTCACGGCCGGGCGCGGTGGCTCAAGCCTGTAACCCCAGCACTGTGGGAGGCCGAGGCGGGTGGATCACGAGGTCAAGAGATCGAGACCATCCTGGTCAACATGGTGAAACCCCGTCTCTACTAAAAATACAAAAAATTAGCTGGGCATGGTGGCGCGTGCCTGTAATCCCAGCGACTCAGGAGGCTGGGGCAGGAGAATTGCCGAACCCGGGAGGCGGAGGTTGCGGTGAGCCGACATCGCGCCATTGCACTCCAGCCTGGGTAACAAGAGCGAAACTCCGTCTCAAAAAAAAAAAAAAAAAAAAGACTATTCACTATAATATTATTTTATTAACATCCTTTTAAGAGAGCTAAAATGTTTCTCAATCACCATACAGTCACAGAACAATACTCCACCCCAATGAGGATATCTACTGATGATTTTTCTCCTTTTTATACATGAGGAAACTGAGATTCTAAAAGGAAAAGCGACTTGTCCACAGGGACCTGAGAGCAGAGCTGCATGGAAAGATAGGGCTTCTAATTCCCTCAAGTATATCTTATGTTCAACTTCCTAGGGGAATCTTAGAATGGCTTTCACCTACAAAAAAGAAAAATTAAAGTAAAAACACTTTTCAAAGTCTCAGAAGTACTTTATCTAAGTCGCCTCTCTTTTTAATCTTCCTTTATATTTCACAAGATAGTATATTTGCTTTTAAAACAAAGTGGACAAAAGTACATGAAATGATAGTGACACCATTAGCATCACTGAATGATCTGTCAAATTTTTCATTATTTTTTTTTATTTTAAGGAAGTCAGGAAAAAAATCTACAATTTTTTCCACGCATCCTGCTAAAATTAAAACACAGAAATTTGTGATCAAATTTTATTCCAGCTACAGTTGTGGTCTTGACTTGATATATCCTAATACATGCTAACATCATAAAGATCCATATTACTGGTTTGCCCATTATAATTAATGAAGATGCTGTTTGGTAGTCATTACAATCTGTCAGGTCACATTATTCTACATTTCAAAGAATGACTTGGGAGAAGGGAGCTATAAATGCATTTTCCTTTTGAAGAAGCCATTAAGAGTTTTCTGGGTAAAAGCATATTTATAGTTTCTTACCAGAGACAGACTTGAGGAATACATTTGAGACTTAGAGTAAAGAGGCACTTTATATTATTATTTGTTAAAATAAAGAAAGCTACAGTTAACCAATGGGACTTCAGAAATAAAAAAATTTCAAATCATCTTTCCAAAGCCCTTCAGCCTTCTCAATTCATTAAGAGTTCAAAATACAGGAGGGATGGCAGCAGCTGAAATCCCACTGGTTTCTCCTTTCCAATTTTCTAGGAATCTTGTGAATTCACATTGCGTGTACATTCCCACCAAGTTCTGTCTTTCTCTTTAAATTTTTATTATAACATTTTACATCTATGCTGCTTTTTAGGTCATGGCACAATGAGGTTATTTATCAGCAAACTCTCAACTTTAACTCAATTATTTTGCTTCCGTGGCTTTCCTGGCCATTATTGTGATTATGCTTCTAGATGAGTCATAATCAAATGAGTTCCATGGTAAATACTGATATCACATCTTTGTTCAGAGTGCCCAGGGCTCCCTGCTTTCTTCACCCATGTTTTTGTCAAATTAATTTTGACATTCCCCAGATAACAGATAGCTTGCTGAATTTCTAATGTGATACTTTGTGCGGCAGGTAATCACAAGACATTTTATAGCTAAGGATTTCTGGAAATAGTGGAATAGTAGAATGAACACTGTTATATGGAGAAAGGGTTTTAATCAATTATATCATTTGGCTGCTGATAATTTGTTAAATGAGGAAAAAACATAAAAGGGAACAATGCAGATACATCAATGAACTGCATAAAACTCACTGGGTGAGATAGTCACAGAAACCTCCTTTTCCCTCATTCCCCACTTTCTGTAAGTTACCATCAATTATCAACTAGAAATTGCCAATTGCCATGTCCCACTGACATGCCCTGGTTCAGGCATTCGTTATCTCCATCCTAGATTGTATCAGTTTCATCTGTATTTCAACTCCTCCAAGGCGTGAGGTATTTTAATTATAAGAACATCTTTCCACTGAAATGAAATCTAGTTGCTCATATATACCTTCTATCCGTGGGTCTTAATGTTGTATTTTGCAACACCATCCACCATTTACTCTTGACAAATATTTAAATCTTACTTTCACATTCTTGCCTAAATACTGGGATCTTCCACCATGCTGATCATTCCCTCTCAATATGCTCCCCCTTTAAAGTCAGCACTCAGAACAGGAGGTAGTTTTACCAATACTGAGCAGGAGAAGCCTAGTATTTCCTTTATTCTGGACACAGGTACAAATGCAACCTAGATTTTCATTAACCTTTTGACACTGTTATCACATGCTCAATTCACATGGAGCTTCATTAACCAAATACCCAGCCATTTCATGTGATCCGTCATTACTCTCTGCTCTTATGCTCTTTACTTAAACAGCTGATATTTATGAATTAGGGGCAGAAATTTAATTCATATTGATTTTTGTCTCCTCCAGAAATTGATTTTCATCCATTATTCCACAGTTTTAATAACTGCCCAGATAATCATGCTGTCACCAGGCACGCATTTCTTCATTTTGTATTTAAATACAATTTTTTTCCCCCACACACCTTGCTAAAATCAAAACACATAAAAATGTCTGTGGCTCTCTCCTATTCTGCCAGTCTAATAACCTCCATTTAAAAAAAGGAATGTATTCAGTTTGGGTTGGCTTATTTTATTAAACTCATCATGTTGGCTCCTAATGATCTTTTTTCTAATATTCACAAACCATCTGCTTAAACATCTTGTTCTGGATATGGAGATTCGTGCTTCAGCTTCAGTGTCTCCATATATGAGAATTTAGCCTATGCCCAACTTCTATCCTAACTTCACCCCTTTTTGAGAACTGTCACATTTGCCCCACTAGCTTCTGGCACCTGTCCCAGTCCCTGTATCACTTTGAGATGACCGGCTGCACTTCCACAAGCCAAATCTACAAGCTCTTTTAATACCCTGGCCAATGTATAATTTTTCTAGACAGGAAATTTAAACCCATTTGGAACAATTATATTCCTTTCTAAAATATTCTTGAGCAGCATGAGCTTTTGTAGCCTTCACCAAACCTTTAATCATTTCAATCTAAAGTTCACTTTCATTAGCAGAAAAGACAAAAGTAATATAGAAGCTGGTAAGCTGTTTCCTTGTTCATCTCATACAATTAAACTGACTCCTTAAACTGTCGGCCGACCACTGCTTCTTCATCGTCTCACATAACTCAAAAATCAATCACTCTCTCTCTGATCATGCTAAGCATTTTTTCACGAGCCTCAACTCAGTCACTCAAGACTTTCATTTTACACTCACAGTTTTAGGCTAAGAATGGAAAAAAATAAAAGATTAGAGTATTCAAGAGGATTATTAGTACAGAATGATCATTTGTTAGCCTTTTGAGTTTAATGGGCTTTAGCAGGTCTGGCCTGGCAAGGCCCAGCAACCTAATCACCATTTATGACTGCTTCTCTGGGAAAATAACATTCTGCATTCCAAAGAAGTGACTCAGAAAAAAAATTTCTAAATGACATATTTGCATGTTGAACTGCTTCACTTTTGCTCATACTCCCCATTTGTAACAAATCTATGATTTAGCTTTTGAATCAGTCACATAGAGCAAATATTCTTCCATATTCAGACAAAAATGCACATTCCATCACCTTCTGTTCTTGAATGCACAAAAAGCTTTCAACCTTGAAATGCCATGTGAATTCCTACCACAGCAAATGGGCCAATTTAGCAATTCTTACTAGCCAGTTTATCTCTGATCTCATTTCCCCCTTTTCAGAGTCCTTTTGCCAAATT